TGATTTTTAGTAGTGTAAATTTTAAATGGTTTCCAATGAGAGTTTATGATTAAAATATTGTAGTCATTTTAATGATTTTAGTATATTAGCCATTATTGTAAGGCGCCTTGAGATAGAATGTAAGGCGCCATATAAGAATCTTATTATTATTATTATTATTAAGAGAGAGAGAGAGAGATAGGAGGAAGAGAGAGAGAGAGAAGGGGTAATTGGACCAAAACGGTATTTTTAGTGACACTTTAAAGTTAAAATCACATCTTCTAGAACTGGCTGTGTGAATGCAATTACAAGTGCATCTGAACAAAAACATGTCCAGGTTTGATTCCACATTAAATGAATTTTTCTGGATCTAGCTGTGCCAGCAGTTCATTAATTTCCTGCAAGCACATTAGTTGTCTATAAAACAGTATGTTTAACAATATAAACAGAATTTCAATGAGATTTTGATGTTTGGGAGGTAGACATTGGAGACAATATTTGAATTCTGCCTACATAATTCAGATTTTCTTATTGTATTGAAGAGCCAAGGAAAAGGAAAAAAATGCAGTCTAAAGCACCACTGTATATTTATTGTGGTGTTGTATGCATAATCTGATTACATTTATATATACATTGTAGAGATGAAGTATTGTTAAGACTCTTTGCATAATATATATTATCTCTGATCTGCTTAAAAATGTTTACATATTTTATCCATGTATCAGGGCCGTGTAAAGCTAAAATTGTTTTAAAATTTTACATTTTTTTTTGTCTGAAATGTTCTGGGATGAGCTCACTAATATTTAGTTTAAGTCCTTAACTGTCTCTACCTATACTCAAGTACATGGGAGACCACCCATCTAAGAGAACGAGAGGTAGCAACGAGACGACGGACCAGATCTTTGAGCCCCCTCTGAAACATGTAAGTATATTATCAGTTCTTTTGAAAGTAAGGTAATGTCTCACAAATTTTGAGGAGAATATATTCAGTGTACTTCTCTCAAAACTGTAGTGTTGCTGATAATAATTGAAATTGTGGTTTGCAAATTCTGAAATTTGTTTAAGCCAAATTTTTTTTTTCTTTAGTGCATTAATACTATTTATTTATTTATTTATTTATTTATTTATTTATTTATTTATTTATTGAGAAATTAACCATTTTAATCAAATTTTGACATTATGAAATGTTTAGATTACTTGGAATTTGTGAGAAATTGCCATGTGGCTTATTTCTTGATACTCATTCTTGTCATGTACTAATAGAAATATTTTGATGGCACTGAATTTATTAATCCATTTTGCAGTAAAATATGTTTGTGTGAGTGTGCATGTGTAAATAAATATTTCATTTTGCCAAGTCATGTAAGCCATAAAAAGTAGATCTTGACACAAATCTCATTTGAGAATAGAAAGTTGTTTCACGTAACAAAAGTATGTATGCCACATGGTAAGTGCACGTTACCCAGGACAGTATGAAGTAGTTGGCCAACTAGCAGTAATGGCTGCCATCATGCAACGTCCACCATGGGCAGTATTCTGAACCAGACTAACTGACCCTGAATAATATACTCTGTTATTGCACCAGATCTCACAGAAGTTGACTATTAGAAAGTGATTATGGTAGATCTGAGAATATATGATTAATGTTTAATCCCATTTTTATCAAATTGCATCAAAATGTATAACAATGTTGTTGCAATGAACTTGCTTCAACATCCCCTAATTACGAGCTGATAGGCCACGTTGCATGTCCATACAAAGTTTTCCTGAGTCAGTCGACCTCTGGGGTTAGATAAGTCTCTTGATAATTAGGATCCAGACATGATTCCTCTTTCTCTGATATATGTACTCCCATTGTTTTAGCCTTATGATTGCATGACTTCATGGACAGATAGGACTATTTGTCATAGGTGTACCAACCATTTGTAATAGATGACTGTAATCTGCAGTGTCAGAGGGTTACGTTTGTTAGAAAATTTCACATGATTTTTTTTTTTTTTTTTTTTTTTTTTTTTTTTTTTTTTTTTTTTTTTTGACATGAAATTAAGATAGTTTTCTCCCTGTTACAGTG